AGGTTCGTTCAGTGTTTGTCGGGTAGGCTGCTCCATTATTGAGACGTAAGTGACAAATACAAAACAAATGGAACACATTTGAAACAAAGAAAGATTGTCATAATGGAGCAGCCTACCCAACAAACACTGAACGAACCTTTTGCTATAACGAATATGAAAGACTAGGGCTGCTGGCTGGGTTAGTACTGCGTGAGCAACCATTTGTGGCACACGCGCCTCTGGCTCTCAAACACCTGTCCCACACGGTGTTGAAAGACTGCGCTCAATCGGTGCAATTCAGACCCTATTGTTTGAAGAACATAAGGGTCATAATATTGGTGAAGCTAGGCGCAATAAGGGCTTAACACAACGGTCGGATGCCAGTGATACAGCACCTATGAGGATGATACAGCGAGCGTATCCAGGTGTAGCTCTGAGCCCCACCCTTGCCATCTCGAATTTATATAGATGATACATAGATGAATCGTTTTCTGCGTTCAGTGATAATGCATCTGATACAAGTAGCATAGATGAAGTGTTAGCGGCTTCCATGGTGGTGGTGTTCATTGATATTTTCAAGAATACCTGAATCTCTTCCTGACTGATGGACACTCTTTGCGGCTAGCTGAATCTCTTCCTGACTGATGGACACTCTTTGAGGCTAGCTGAATCTCTTCCTGTGTGGGACCTTACAAAGCGATCTTTTCAAGACTACCTTACAAATTGAGCTTTTCCTATAATCGTTTCAATACTACCTTATGCTTTACAAGCTTGGCTACATACCACCTACAAGTACTAAAGCCAAGGGTGCACACGAGTGCGTTATTTGCAAGCACACAGAACGATGAAATAGGAAATGAAAATCTATCTGTAGCGTGTGCAAGGAGAGCAAAGTCCCGCTGTGTACCATAGACTACTTCGTTGACTATTACGCACCTCCAAAGTAGAGTGTGTAATACAGTGTGTTACTGTGTAAATAGTATGTGAAACTGTACATATTGTAATTTTAGTGAATTTTTACCATGTAATAGTGGGACAATAAACATTTATTGTGGACACATTACTGACACATGTATCACAGTTCCATGGAAAATTATGAACATTCTACTGTATACATATTGTAAAGGTCACAAATATGCATCATATACGATAAAAGAAACAAATAAAACCGCATTGGAAATGCATAGAAAAAATATTTGAAAATATATTTGTGGCAATACGCGGTGCTTGAATGGCCTGCGAGACCGTGTCTGGGAGCTTCACACACGGGCGACCAGGCACTGATGACGTCACAGCGCACCTTGTCCACGCCCTCGCAGCCAAAGTAAGTGGAATTTGGTAATTATTTTTACATAGACATGTTCAGGGACGGTAATTTATCATTTTGCAAAGAAAAATGATATTTTGGGGAACATTTGATGTCATGCACACTGGGGAAATTTTACAATAAACACAGTGCATCACACTGGTTACATGGGTGGACACTCGTTTTGTATGACGTCCATTTCACATGACGAACATGGAACGGATTAAATTCGTTATGCGAGGTACCACTGTACATGTTTTGTTCACCATAACTGTACATCTAAGCTTGTATGGTGAGTAAAGACACGAAGACGTAGGTACTCACACAGTCATCTGGTGGCGGCTGCCCTCAAGGCCAGACGCACTAATATTTCTCCTCCAACAATATTGTTTGTGGTGTTATTACACTATATACACACATTATATATAAGTATCTACCTGTTTTATTCACCATACCTGCACAAATAAGCTGGTATGGTGCCCAAAGACCGTAGTGGCCACCAGTAAACATGATAAGTCGTGCAGATGGTGCACCTCCCTTACCAAAATGACGGCTCCCAACCTACTCCTATTGCTGTTATCACACTCTATACACACGATATATATAAGTATCTACATTTGTGTTCACCATAGCGAACCACTAAGCTGGTATGGTGAGTGCAGTAAATAACAGGTGGTCACACACAGTCAGAAGACGACGCCACAACCCTCCCTCCCACAGCCTTACTCCTTCCTCCATGGAGCATAGTGCTAAATATCACCACAATCCTGCTATTATCAGAATCCTGGTCAGTTTTATCACAATCAGGGGCCTTCTATAATACTATTATCGCTAAATAATAGCATGATCATATATATTATGGCATTTGTAGGCGATGCTGTGGTCAAAAGCTGAACAGCAGTGCTGTGAGCTCGTGCTGCGTGCGCCAACCTTGCTGGCTTGCTTAATACTGATGCTCTCACACCCAAGAATGTTGGCCTGGATTTTTTTTCTAGGTGGCATCTGGCAACTATTGGTCGTGGCTGCACTGTAGCTGCCCCTATCCCAGGCAGGGAGTTTAAATTATAGCGCTAGACACGAAATCATATATATATATATATGACATGCAAGGTTTTGGTTTTGCCACTGAAAGCATATATATATGATTTGCACAGTTAAAGGGTTAAAAACAGAATAGAATTTTTTCCAGAGATTTTATTTCCTGCGCACTGTGTGCACAGGGTGGGTGTCATATTTGGAGGCCGCGCAGTTAAGGGGTTAATTAAGCGTGTAGGGTTCGGTGTTTTATGAGCAAAAAGGACCCGAATGGTTTAAGTAGCGAACGTACACCAATCAATAATGTTAGTATCTATATATAAAAATTATTGTCCTGTGGAGTTAATTTAACCTCCAGACATGTTCTTTTAAATAAATATTAAATGTGTTGTGGCTATTTATAAAAGATATTATTACAAATACACATTCTACTTGTTAATACAGAGCACCACTTGGTTTCCGAACCCCTTGGGGACGAGACCCGTCGATTAACATGTAAGTTCGTAAATGAGAAATAGAGGGAAAAATAAACTTGAAATGTAAAAAGAAATGTTTCCAAAAAATTAAGGAAAAACTCTAGGGGAAAAAATAGACAGGTTCATAGCGTAAATGCTACCGTATTTTGTTTGTACTCGCCAATAAGTGAAGTCTTTATCCGTTTTATAAAAGTCCTTAATTGTTCCTAGCTGATTATTAAGACGTCTGGCAAACATCCTCTGGATGTTTCCTGCCAGCCTGTAGGAATATCCTGCCTGCCAGCTTGCCAGCTTGCCAGCCAGCCTGCCAGCCAGCCTGCCAGCCAGCCTGCCAGCCAGCCTGCCTGCCAGCCAGCCTGCCTGCCAGCCTGCCTGCCAGCCTGCCTGCCAGCCAACCAGCCTGCCTGCCACCCTGCAGGCACATCCTGCCAGCCACCCTGCAGGCACATCCTGCCAGCCAGCCTGCAGGCACATCCTGCCAGCCAGCCTGCAGGCACATCCTGCCGGCCAGCCTGCAGGAACATCCTGCCAGCCAGCCTGCAGGAAAATCCTGCCAGCCAGCCAGCCAGCCAGTCAGCCAGCCTGCCTGCCAGCCAGCCAGCCAGCCTGCCTGCCAGCCAGCCAGCCTGCCTCTCTGCCAGCCAGCCAGCCTGCCTCTCTGCCTGCCAGCCTGCCTCTCTGCCTGCCAGCCTGCCTCTCTGCCAGCCAGCCAGCCTGCCTCTCTGCCTGCCAGCCTGCCTCTCTGCCTGCCAGCCTGCCTCTCTCTCTGCCAGCCAGCCTGCTATCCAGCCTGCCTCACTCTCTGCATGCCATCATGCTAACGGGTCGAGTGTGTTAGGCTTATCTTCGGGAGTGAGCCGGACTCTCCCCCACCACCGATAAACCACCTTCCACCCCTACTTCCCATACTCTCTCTTAAAGGTCACGAGGTTCAACCGCGTGACTATCCCTCCCTCCCTGCTTGCCAGCCTGCCTGTCTGCTTGCCTGCCTGCCTGCCTGCCTGCCTGCCTGCCTGCCTGCCTGCCTGCCTGCCTGCCTGCCTGCCAACCTGCCAACCTGCCTGCCAGCCTGCCTGCCTGCCTGCCTGCCTGCCAGCCTGTCTGCCAGCCTCCCTCCCTCTCTGCTAGCCAGCCTCCCTCCCTCTCTAACAGCCTGCCTGCCAGCCTCCCTCCCTCCCACTCTCTCTGCCAGCCTGCCTGCCTCTCTCCCTTTCTGCCAGCCTGCCTGCCAGCCTCCCTCCCTCTCTGCCACCCTGCCTGCCAGCCTCCCTCTCTGCCAGCCTGCCTGCCAGCCTCCCTCTCTTCCTGCTAGCCTGCCATCCAGCCTGTCTCTCTCTCTGCCTGCCATCCAGCCTGCCTCCCTCTCTGCCTGCCATCCAGCCTGCCTCCCTCTCTGCCTGCCATGTAGCCTGCCTGCCTGCCTGCCTGTCATCCAGCCTGCCTGCCTGCCATCCAGCCTGCCTGCCTGCCTGCCTCCCTCCCTCCCTCCCTCCCTCCCTCCCTCCCTCCCTCCCTCTCTGCCAACCTGCCTGCCAGCCTGCCAAAAATATACGATGATGTACATTTAAGAAACAAATCTAGGTCACAGGTTTGTCGAGTGTGGTTAGGCTTACAGAGTCAGCCAGTCCCTCCCCCACCACCAACACACCTTCCTCCCCAACCCATACACACACACTCTCAAAGGTCACATGGTTCACCTCAACACCCATACATCCCTTCCTGCTTGCCTGCCTCCTTCCCAGCCTGCCTGCCTGCCTTCTTCCTGGCCTGCCTGTCTGCCTCCTTCCCGGCCTGCCTGCCAATCAGCCAGCCAACCAGTCAGCCTGCCAGCCAGCCTGCCTGCCTGCCTGCCTGCCTACCTGCCAGCCTGCCAGCCAGCCTGCCTGCCTGCCTGCCTACCTGCCAGCCTGCCTGCCTGCCTACCTGCCTCCTTCCCAGCCTGCCTGCCAGCCAGCCAAACAGCCTTCCTGCCTGCCAGCCAGCCAGCCAGCCAGCCAGCCAGTCAGCCTGCCTTTCCCTCCCTCCCTCCATAATTCTCACTACTTCCCTCCCTTCCTGCCTACCTCCTAGCATCTCTCCCTCCCTCCCTTTCTGACTAATTCTCCCCCTCTCTCACTGATTCTCCCCCTCTCTCATACTGCCTCCCACCTAAGCTCCTCCATATGGAAAGCATCATTTGCATTAGTTTCTTTCCTTCATTTCAG